GGAGTTAGGGCTTCAACATATGGATTTTGCGAGGGCAGGGGACACAATTTAGCATATAACACTCATCAATGTATCGTTAACAATTTAGTTTATTGTGACACTGTTCAGAGTAGCATTCGTGTGCTTTGGAAGAGAGTGGTGGGACCCTTTGTATGGGAAATAAGATATTGCAGGTCCATTTCAATAAATATATATTGTCGAATAGGTAATATATTCATGTTTCAACATTCCAAAAGTCATAGGAGAGAAAACATGAAGGACAAACATAAGAAGAGCCTCTTAATGTCACTAGTAGCACGCGCAATGTAAGTTAAGCTCATAATATCACTCCATTTCACACGTATCAGATTGGCAAAAATATTAAAGTCTGTTACTAAGTATTGGTGGGAATGCAGAGGAGCCAAACCCCTTCAGGCCGCTGGTGGGAATGCAAATTAGTGCAGCTGTGTTGGAAACCATTTGGCCAGTGGTCACTTAGCAGAGGCCCAACACCGGCCCAGCGGTATCACTGCAGGAGCCAGCCCTCCAGGACTCTTGCACAGGCGCACCCAGAGACAGGCCTGAGCAGGTTCACAGCAGCCCAAATGGGAAATAGCCCAATGTCCAACACCAGGGAAAGAGATACATAAAATGGGTATACTCACTCAATGGATGTTAAGTTACAATGGAAACACATGAATTAAAGTTGCATGTATCCGTGTGGATGAATCTTAGAACTATGGTGAGAGAAATTTGCTCATTGCAGAAAAATACATACAGCATGCCATTTTTACAAAATTCAAATCAAGTCAGGTGAGCTAATAATGTATCCCTTAGGGATATGCAGATCTGTGATAAAACTCTAGAGGCTAGCAGAACTGAGGATGAGAGGACAGCGGTTAAGTTACCTCTGCAGACTCGGGAGGAGCTGCAGGAAGTTTCAACGCTATCGGTGATGTCCCATGTCTCACGATGGATGGTGGACCCTCAGGGAAGAATTAGTTATTATTCTATTTCAAGATATACATTCATTTCAGAAATTCTTTGTATACATGAAATAATTCGTTGAAAAGATTTAAAAGTTCAAAAGGTGTATAATAAAGAACCTTTCTCTGAAGACAGCGGATATTTCCAGATTTTTGTGCATCATCCAGAGATAGGTCATAGCTGACGGCAGTGCGTACGTGCTCACGTGTGTGTTCTATCTCTCGCCCCACCGCCTTCTCTACATTGGTAGCATTCCTTCAGGCTCCTTTTAAACAATACTACCATTAAGTAATACATGGTCAGAGTGAGTAGAAAGTCTGAGGAAGAAAAAGATAGGGTTGTCTGTCTGTCCAGGAGTTCGGCTAGAAAGAAAAAGAGGGAATCGCCGCTTATCAGAAAGGAGACTGTCTGGATAAGGGGAATCTGGCCTTGTAGCCAAGGCTGATGAGACATGGAATTTGGACCTGTTTAAAGCAGAGGGGATGGAGTCCTGATTGAATCAACGAAAGGGCAGAGGCAAGCAATTCTCCTCTCTTGATAATGAGACCCCCTGAGTTATGGTGTCTCAGACAAACTACACGGATGTGAGGAAATCAGGGGAGGGCAGACTCGTGAGCAGATAAAAGCAGGAGGCGAATACATCAAGAGACAATAAAACATCAAAATCAAATATATGTCAAGTGTGTGACTGGAATTAGGGCAGACTGGCAGGCAGGAGAGACCGGAAATTGTTCTCGCACAGAAGCCAGGAGAAGAGGTGAAAGCTTGGCTTAGCCACTGGGAGTGGAGGACAAGTCCAAGTGCCCGCTGAGGTGGAAGGTGGGTGAGGAACGCCCAAGAAAGTACTAGGTTCAGACAGGGCCAATCCCCAGTAGCTGCCAGTAGCTTAGTTGATCTGGGAAGGCTTCCCAGAGGAGAGGTTTTCAGGAGCAGCTTGAATGAGGAGAACAAACAGGTTGGTGAACAGATTGAGGGTGGGAGTTTGGGGCGTACTGCCGATTCATGCTGGCAAAGCTCCAAAGGAAACCTTGCTTATCATATCTCTGTTGTGTCTTTCACTCTTGTGTATTTCCTTCAAGTCCCAGGATCTGGCATGGGTGTTTTGTGATACGAAAAGCTGTGGAGAGTGGGTGTGCACTAAAATACAGACGAAGGCTGTTGGGCTGGGTTCTCGGGGCTGGACCGTGATACGTAGAGGTTTAGTGCTGAAAGAATCAGCCCTGGCAGAGACAAGACAATGGGGCATGATGCGTGAGCCCCTGTGTGTATCAGGAGCCCTGGGCCGTAGGCCTCACTCAGATAGAAACTTGTTCTGGGCCTTTGAGAGATCACAGAATCACATGTTATTGGGCTAAATAACCTGTAAGACTCTTTTCAATCTAGGCAGCTCAGTGATTGACAGCCAGAGGAAGCAAAGTCTCCCAGATTAATGAAACTGAGTATCTTAAGCCTAGAAACGTACAGTATAAACATCATTTGTAACTGGCCTGTCGAGCACGTTACACAGGTCCTTTCCCATATATTAGTTCATCTGCACCCGAGAATCACCAGGAGGCAGGTGAGGCAGAGATAGAGTTCGCCTCATTTACAAGGGGGGAAACTGAGAGACACATTATAGGACCATGGTGCCGAACACTGGGGTCTTGGCTGAGCTAAGCTAGACTCCTATGGCTTTCCATTCCCTCTCCAACCCCCATTTGGATGTCGAGCGATGCCCAGTACTGGCTCTGGGACAAAAGCCTAAAGTCCCAATGCCAGGTCCACTCTCCCAGCTTCAACTTCAAGGTCATGCTGGGTCACTTCCACCTATGTTCCACCCATTGGCAGTACGTCTGCTCCACTTAGCCCTTCCCTGCTGCACTTGGGCTGGGGCAGGCATGCCCTTTACTTCCATAAGTGTGTGCCCTGAGCTGGCACTCAGACCCCAGGGGACTGCTCCTCTGGGCTCCTGAGGAGGTGACAGCAGCCTGCCTGGCAGCCTCTGGGCTCTGATGTGAGGGGAGTGTCCTTGCTTTTCTCTCAGCCTGGCTTCCTGTCTAGACATCTCGAATGGTCCCCTGGATTTAGCACGAGTTTGCCTGCCAGCTAAGTGAAACCCACACAGTTCAGTAGAGCCAGCGGCTGCCTCCCCCTCACCAGGACCGAGTCCTAGAGGATTGAAGCTAAGAAATTGTATAATAAAGGGGCCCAGGGGAGGATAAAGATGACAACACCGGTAACAGTAGCTTTACACTCTAGAATCCTTTTTCAGAACTCACATAGGCGCTCTCCTCTTCTCCCACACACCTGGAAGGATGGGTTGTCAAGGCAACTTCTCGTAAGTCCCAGCACCCACAGTCTCACAGGTCCCTGTGGACCCACTGAATCCGGCTGTGGAGAATTCTGCCCCTTGGCTTGGCTCTGGAAAGATACGGAAACAAATCCTCTGAAATATCCACTCCTGTGCTAACACCCTGCCCCTCTTGGACCCATCCTGGCTCCACGTGAAGCCTCCCCCATATGGCAAAGCTGGGGGAAACCTCAGGTCCAGCACTGCTGGGGTGAGGATGCCAGAGCTGCTCTCCTGAAGCACAGGTCTACTCCGCTGCCCTGGCACTTTAGTGCCCTGGACACAGAGTCCTCGCAGTGAAGGGAAGTGGAGGTGCCTCAACTTGCCCTTCCTCTGACTTGCCCAGGGGAAACAAGAGAACAACATCAGATAAATCCTGAACGAGGGACATTGGACAAAACCCCTGACTGGTACTTCTCAAAACTGGCAAGGTCATCAAAAACAAGGACCGTCCGAGAAACTATCACAACCAAGAGGAGTTTAGGTTCATTACCACGTCCAGCAAGAACGTGGGGGGGATGGGCTGAACACTGGACCGAGACTCTGTCGTGAACTAAGATGGGCCGAGTGCTCTTACTGTTTCAAATCACAATTTTAAAAATTAAACTTAGCTTTTAGAACACTTTTAGATTTACAGAAGAAAAGCAAAGATCGTGTAGAGAGTTCTTATATACCCCGAGTTTCCGTATTTTTAACGCTTTCTATCAGATGGTACACTTGTGACAATTAATGAACTAGTGTTGCTACATTATTATTAACTGAAGCTTAAACTTTATTCAGATTTCCTTAAAGTTCTTTTTCTCTTCCAAGATTTCACATTACTTTTAGTCATCCTGTTCCCTTAGCCTCCCCTTTGCTGTGGCAGATTTCCTCAGAATTTCCTTGGTTTTGATGACCTTGGCAGTTTGAGCAATACCGGTCAGGTATTTGGTAGAATGTCTCTCTGTTGGGATTTGTCTGCTGTTTTTCTCGCGCTTGGACTGAAGTTCTGTTTGGGGAGAAAGAACACAGGGGCAAAGTACCATTGCCAGCGCGTCACGTATTGGCAGTGTGACGTCACTGTGGGTGTGGATCCTGGTCATTTGATTGAGATGGTACTTATTAAGCTTATCTACAGTAAAGGTATTCCAAAGCTGACTTTTTAATGTATGATTTCCTCTGATTTCACTTAATCACCTTTGGGACCGTGCATAGCCATTTACGATCCCTGGGCTTTGGCTGTAAAAGGAAAGGCGTGGAACATCTCTGAAGTCCTAGTTCTAAGATTCTAAATTACACTCTGTGATGACACTCTGACCTACAGAGGTGGCGGCCACTGGACTGCCCAAGGTAACATGCCGACCTTCCTTAGAAATGCCATCCTCACAGCCAGGAGCAGGCTGGATGTGGGCTCTCACTTTTCTGAGAGTGAAGAAAATTCTAGAAGCTCTATCAGTGAGTGAGCAAGCAAGTAGATAGTGAATGAATGGACAAGATAATAAGTTTACCGAGAACTTACTCATGCTAGTTCTGTGCTAGGTGTTACGGGGGCAGAAGAAGTATGAGAAATAAACACAATTTAGTGTGGGAGAGAAGATGGAAGTTGATGAACAGTGAAATAATACATTCATCCCGCCCTTGAACACCACCTGCTCTATGAAGCCTTTTCTGATTTTTATCCAAATATTTTCTTTCCCTTCTCTGAACTTTGCCACTCTGTGTTAAGAAATGGCACTGAGATTGCTAGTGTAGCTCTGAATTTACACAACTTGCCCTGGTGGACAGGGACTCTGCTCTTTACATCAGGGAGTTCTCACGACAACTTGCTGTGCTGAATGGATCTGAATCTGAGACACAGGAAATTAGTCATAGAGGCAACAGATATACTGGGCTTTGAGGAGAAGGAGATCCTGGGTGGCTTCCTGCAGGAGGTTGAGTCTGGAAGCATGGCTGAAAGACAAGCAGGGGCCTTTCTCTTTCCTCAGGTGAAGCAAAGGTGAGTTTAAAACCAGGCCCCTGACCTTAGCACAACCCGGGGGCCAGGCCCTTAACCCCTAATTCTTCGACACCTTCCATTGTCCTACCTTCGAGGTTTAGCTTACACACATCTGTCCACCTGTCAGGCTCTCTCCTCCTCGGATCGCTCCAGCCCATCCGTGGCGACTCTGTCCCTCTCTGACTTCCCACATTAGCACACACAGCTCGAAACCCTTTGTTTGCTGTATCATACACTGCCCGTGGCTGTGGGTTATCTTTTGTGAATCGGCCGGCCGTCTTCTCCTGGTGAGCTGACCCTGGGCCTCATGGCTTCTGAGCTCAGGCCTCGTGCATAGTAGAGGCTTGGTCAGCAGTAGCTGTTGAGTTTATGGTTTCACAGTCTTCAGGGGCTGACATTTCTCATCCTCACCTGGCAGTTGATCATGTCTCCAATGGCCGACTGATTCTTCCTGTTGTGTTTCTTGTGCCTCACTGCGGATCTGCCCTTCCAATGGCGGGAGGACACTGCAGAAGGAAATGTGAGTCCCACCTGCCCCCAGTCAGGGCTCCCAAGGAGCCTAGGAACCTGCCTGCCATTGCGCCACTAACACCCACAGAGTCTGTATCCTAGCGACATGGGGAGTTGCATCCCCAGCCTTTCACAGATGTGGAAAAGCTCTCTTTGGTGGCTTCAGAGGCAATACTGGATGTAAGTGTGTGTGTGCACGTGTGTGCTTGTGATTGGGAAAATGAGTGGGTGTGGGAGTGTGGGGGGGTGTATTGCATGTGTACGTGTGGGGAACGGGATATGGAGTTGTATGATGTGATAGTGGGTGTGTGTGTAAGTGGGTGTGTACATAAGCATATATGTGCTGTGCAAATGTGAGTGTGTGAGAACATGAGTGTTTGTGTGGCAAAATGGCATGTGTCTGTGTGGGTAGGAATGTGTGGAAACATGGGTGTGAGTGTATACATGTATAAGCATGGTATGCTTTGTGTGCGAGAATGTATGTACATTGTATGCATGTGAATGAAAGTGTGAGCATATACGTGTGTGAGTCTGAGTGTGTTGCGTGTGTGTGTTGTCTGTATGTGCCTGTATAAGGGTGTATACACCCTTGTATGCATGGAAGTGTGGTTGTGTGTATATGGTGCAGGGATGGGGATTGCATGTGTACACGTGGGCGTGAGTATGCACTTGTATGTGAGTGTGTGTGCGTAAGGAAGGGCAAGTCTTCCTGACCGGTCCTGTCAGAAGACTTTATTCACCCACCTGGGGAGGTGCCTGGCTTCTGGGCACTAGGACAGTCTTTGTCCCTCTGCGCCTGGCAGCCCAACTTCACAGTCATTGGCTCCCCTGGAGCCGGTCCCAGCTGTGTGGGTCAGCTCCCTCCTTCCCATCTGGGCCCTGCCTCTTCTGGCCAGGGCAGGACAACCACAGAGGGTGCCAGGAAGTGGTTTCCCACTCCACCCAGGCCACGTTCCAAACCTTTGGAGTCCCCCAGCCCCCCAGCCAGGGAAATGAACTTGGCATCAGGCATGAGATGAAAAGAAACTGCTGACACAGGCCCGAGGTTGTGCAGGCCCTGCCGGGGTGATGGATGATGAGTTTCCAAGTGAAATCTAATAGAAAGTCCATGCATAATATATCTTTATGGGAGCAAATTCCAATTTGCATCCCATTAGGCCGCTGAAGTCTCAGAGGCCCTGCAGTGCCTCTCAAGCTTTCCCTCAGAAGAAGCCCAGAGCAGGGGGTGCCTGTGCCAGCAGGGGCCAGACCCCTCGGGGGGCAGTGCTGACAATGGAACCTGACGTCACAGGAGGGGCCGCGGGAGGTGGCTCTCCCACGCTGTCCCTTGGTGCTGTCTGGGGCCTGAGTCTCAGCAGCATTTCTCATGTCTGTGCCTGCACATGCTCCTCACAAGCAAGATCAAAGGAGAACCTGGCTTCCTGGCACTGCTATAATTTATATTCAGTGCCCCAGTTTCCAAAGAGGTAAAGGAGGCTTCGAGAAGAGCAGGGTCCCTCCTGGCAAAGGCAGGTAGCACAGGGACAGCCAGCGGGGCCCGGGGAGGTTAGAAGGATGTCTCAGAGAGCTCTGAGCTGGGGACCTGTGTGCCAGGCTCACTCCTGCTCTGCCAGTCACTGCTCCGACCACCTTTCTGCCCCGTGGGCCCAGCTCCTCCGAGCCTCAGTTTCCTTATCGGCGGAAGAGGTAATACTACCTGCCCTGCAGGGTTTTTTGTGAGGGTAGGAAGGTGCATTTGAGACTCTACAGTGCTGCAGAACTGGGGGTGCTTTCCAGACCCCAAATGTGATGTGGGTGTGCGTGACCCTGTGTGTTCGGGGTGGGTAAGGCACGGGGAGATGGAATATAACTCCCGGCCTGAGACGGGAAACCTCTGTCTTCGGATCCCTCCAGCTTCCATCAGCCCTCTGACTTCCTCGGCAGGCTGGGGCCAGGTCAGAAGCATGGTAGTGGGGGGTCTAAGAGGCTTGGGCTCAATGAGATTGTGGTTTGCTTTCTTTCAGGGGTAGAAGAGGAGACTGGGGTGTGGGGTCAGTGCAGTTAAACTGGAGCTCCTGATCTTTCAGGAGAGAAAAGAACTCTGGAAACACTGGGAGAGGAGCTGGGTTCTGACATGGGTGGTCTGGTCCAGCAGAGGAAAGCCCAGGCTCTGTGGCTGGACAGCACAGTGGTAATTACTTCTGACAGTAACTGGGGACACCTGGGACCCCCTCAAAATGCATCAGAGACTTAGGCCACAGGCCGCAGATCTCACGCTCCAAAGAGGTCTTCTCCAGGCTCCTACCTGCTTGTGAGAAGGGCCTCCATGTTGCTGGACGGAGCCCTCCCGTGAGCACCACCCAGCTCCTGTCTGACTGGCTGTCTGGCTGACCACTGTCCTTTCCCCTTCTGCTACGCAGCCCCCGCTGCCTTGACCTGAGGCCTCAGCAGTTCCGCGGGGTGCTCCCTCCCAGTGGCTGGGCTGACTGGCATTCCACAGGCCCAAACTCCTCAATCACTCCCTGTAGTTCACAGAGAGGCACAGAGCTGTGATTACGTGAGTCAGAGCCTACGGCAAGGTCGTTGTGGAGAGACAGGCACGCCACCGGTGATGTGGCCAGGGAGAGGGTGGGACAGGAGGGAGTGCCCATTCTGCCAGCTCTCGGAACCATACCGGTCTCTTGATTTACACGGCACTGAGCGAGGTGGAGGGTTGGCCATTGTCTAGCAACGTTGGGCCCCAAACCCTCCTGACATTTCCTCTCATTATTGGGTGATGTGGGGCAAAGTATGTGAAGCGTTGGAGGGTGTTGTTTGGGTAGCAACCTGTTCACAAAGGGGCCACCGTCCCCAGTGTAGCTACAGTGTTGACACAGACCACAGAGACAAGCCTGGACTCTCTCCAGGAAATTGCTACTTCGACTAGTCCCACAGCTTTCTCGAAGCAGTCAAATGGGAGAAACAAAACAGAAACAAAGTATAAATACTATAAAAGGCCCAATAGTGCTTTGAAAGTGTTATATATACTGTGAAATGTGAAGGTAGAACATTACTGTGTTTCTACAATTTCTTATAACAGTCCTTACTGTACTAGCCGAGAAGGTGAGCACAAGCTGTTGTTGGGACAGCAGTGTCACACTGATGCGGTCATTGTCCAGATGTACTGCTTTTTGAATTGATGGCAAAGCGGGTCAGGTCCCGGTACCTGGAAAAGGGGCACCGAGTGCCCGGGCACCTCTGCGTTTCCAAAGGGGTGGCAAACTCCACTCTAGGAGCTTCTCGGGTTTCGCTGTTACTCTAGGACAGTTCTCAGGGACACACCTGGTTTTACTTTCGTAAATAGGTTTTGTGGTGTTTCTACCAAGACCTTTGTGATGCGGTCAGTTACTCCCACAGTAATTATTCATTCCCTTCACAGACATCTGTCTGCTCAGTTGGACGGGAGTTGCTGATGGGCTGTCACCACTCGGTTCCGGGACACCCCATGGTGGCAGTTTCCCGAAGCGTTCTTCGGTGCGTGCTATCCCGTTGCACAACCCACGTACCAGCCCACATTTGAGGGCTGACTGTTGCATGAACTGCGGCAGGTGGGGCACGTGCCCGCCAATGACAGCTTCGGTCACTCCCTCGGCTGGAGCTACTGAGCAAGTTTCCTTTCTTACGTGCCTGTCACAATGTTTCGTAGTGAATGTACGATTCTTGATCAACTTAAACAAATGGTCAGCTCAGGCCAAACACCTCCCTTTATTTCCGTGACAGCTCAGACCTTGCTTAACCGGTGATTTTGCCTAAGCGACTCCAACAGGTACCTGAAGGTTCTTTTAGTTGTCCCGTGTACACCCCATGTTTTACTGTGTTCAAACACATATAACATGAAATGTATACCATCTTAACTGTTTTTAAGTGTACAGGTCGCTGTGTTAAATACATTTACAATATTGTACAACCATCAGCACATCCATCTCCATAACTCTTTTCACCTGGTAAAATGGAAACTCGACACTCATTAAGCAGTAGGTCCCCATTCCTCTCTACCCCCAGCCCTGGCAACTACCATTCTACTTCCTGTCTCTATTATTCTGACGGCTCTAAGGATCTCGTGTGAGTGGGATCATGCAGTCCCTGTCTTTTGTGGCTGACTTAGGTCACAGAGTGTAACATCCTCCAGGTTTATCCATGTTTGTAGCATGTGTCAGAGTTTCCTTCTTCCTCAGTCTCTTTCCAAAATCATTTTCTAACAGATTTGGCTGTTCAGTTTTCAGGTTTTAGGGTAAAACTGCCATAATTTTCACAGACCAACGAGGTTGCTACGATACTCACTGAAGATTTGCCTCATTTTGCAATCACTGAGCGGTATCTATTGTCAGCGTAAAATACTTTCCACCTGAGCAAGGGGGGCTTTTGGTAGGAGCGTTTCCACAGATAGTGGTTACTCATTAACACTCTGGCATTTTGCACAAGGTCTGCGTCAGACCACTTCATAACGCCGTGAATATGTTCAAATAGACACAGCAAATGGCAAGTGTTGCCTAAACCTCATTGCTTGAGTTGAGGCAAGTTCTTAATTGTTTTTGCATGGGAACTGGGTGCTTTCATCAGCTGTTTCTTCTTCTTTTATTTATCTAGATGGTATCTACTGTGCACAAGGTGGGATGCCAGGTGCTAGGGATATCAGGTAAATGCAGACCCAGCCACTCTCTGCACATCTGCTGGGGCAGGTGGACCACCAGGTGCTATACACATCTGTAAGCACTTTATCTTACACAACTTTGGAGGCTGAACTACCCTCACAGGGGAACCCAAGAGGTAGCAAGTCCTTCTGGGCAGGGACTAAATCATCACCTTTTCCCCCAATAATCAACCTTCCACTTGCTTATGATTGGTATAAGGTTCTTCCTTGTACTGAATTTTTAATAATTTAAATGAATGATTCTCTTTGGAGTTGGGGGGTGGGGAGGGCAGGATGTCAAATTGGTAGGGTGTTATATAATTTGAAAAAGTTTTTTTTTTCTGTAACGTTCTGTAGCTTCCTATTTATAAAATTTAAAAAGAACTTATTACTTGCAGAGTACCAAGGAGAGCAAGCCCACCTTCTGGGAGGGCAGAGAGATGTAGATTCAGTATCAGTTGTTCTCAGGGGGAGGGAGGAGAGCACGGCTTTATCGTGAGTTGTTCTTTCACAATTCGGTTCAGTTTACATTTCTTCTTGGCAGAGAGCACGTGTGCCTGGGAGCGCGGGGACCTGGCCGACCTGTCAGGTATACCTACTGGATCTGGAAAGGAGCGATCCTCTGGCAGACCCGGGAGCCTGGTGCCAGTCCCCAGTCTGTGCTGCTTTGTCGGACTTTGCAAAATAAGAGCCATTTCCAGAACCCAGTCTTGAAAGATGGGCGAAGCCTCATGAAGGATGGGTGTTTAGTCTCTGCTCTGGAAGGCAGAGGCAATTTGATTTATGGAATAGGAAACAGCCAGGAAAAAAAAAAAAAAGCAACCTGAATACAGAAAGGATTCCTTTGGAGGGGCGGGGTGGGTGGGAAATTGCAACCTTATCCTCTGGGACTCGGGCTCAGGAGCTGAGCTGCGAGGTTCAGTGAACCCGTTAGTAACATGAACTTGGTTGCTGTATTTCCCAGCCTGAGCTCATGCATTATTTACCTGGCGTAAGTAAACCTGCTTCTCCCACTGTTGCTGGGGAAACCACTTTGATTTAGCAAGTCCTGTCTTACTCTCTAACTAAAACACTGCAGCTTGGGAGGGAGGGAGAGGAGCGATGCTCAGTCTCAGAGGCTCAGGGTGTGGATGTGTAAAGGGGCCTCCCTGCTAACCGCCCCCCCCGGAAAGCCTAAGTAGGAGAGAATGGTGAGTTCAGTCAGTGTAGGGAGCCTCACACCTGCCCTGTCCTGCTTCTCTGAGGGCCCTTCTCTGTTTTTCTGGTCTCCAAGAATGGGGGAGTCCCAAGGAGCAAGGTGCGCCTCTTCTGAGGCTTGAGTGAAGACTGCTAGCTGGTCTCACACCAACTGCTTTAGAAAGATAGACATCAATTTGTGCAGCACAGGGAGAGAGGCAGGGAGTCAAATTTCCCCAGAGGCTGTTTCCCAGGTGAATGGGCCTTGGGGAGCCAACGCCACAAACACTGGTAAAGTGGTCCTCTCTCTTTCCAAACTTGCTGTGGCTCATATTCCATGTGTGTCCTCGTGGACCAGACAGATGTGCTGGCTGAGAAAGAGCTTGATCTGAGGGGGTGGGTGGGATTCTGGGTTCAAATCTCAGTGCTTTTATTTACAATGGGAATCAGAGTAAGTTATGCCATCTTTCTGACTCTTGGGTCCCCCAAGTGTGGAAGATGGACACTAGTGTCTGCCATGGACAGGTTGTGTGCAGATCGGCCAGGAAGTGGTCTGGGAACACTGTCCGTGCCCAGGCCCCGTGATGTGGAATGACGACGGGCCACCGACCTGGCCTGCCACCTGTTCCCCTTTCTTGCCAGCAATTCAGACAGCGCTCCTGGCTCTCTTCCTCCTCTTGCTGCATATTGATTTTTCCTTTCCTCCTTCTGTTCTATTTGTGGCTCTATGGCCTCTCACAACTGCATTATTTCTTCAGAAGTGCACCAGATAAGGAGGTCTGTTTGTGCACACCAGTGGCCTCGGCCCTTCACTGTGCCTGTGGCCTGGGCTATTCTCCCTGTCCATGACCTTGCTGCATTCTTGTCGCTAAAATGGAATCTAGTGGAGCCTTTCTTTCTTCCAGGTTCTCTCTGTGCTTGTACAGAGAGGATGATGCTATTTGTTAGGTGAGTTGTGGGTGTGTCCGCCTGGGCAATGCACACCAGATATGTGTCAAGAATATACTTATCTGTCTATTGAGATATTTAGACAAAAGCCGTAAATTAGTGAACTTTGATTTCTTTTTTTGTTAACTACAATGAGACAATATGTTAAAAGGAAAAAACTACTTCCTGGGTATCTCTAACATAATCGTTTTTAGTAATGTCTTTCTAGATTTTCCTTTTTGAAATTATACTTTATTGATTATGCTATTACAGTGCTTTCCGTTTTTCTCCCTTTGCTTTCCTCTACCCAGCACCCCCCACTCCCTCAGGCAGTCCCCTTACGGTGGTTCATGTCCATGGGTCATGCGTATAAGTTCTTTGGCTGCTCCATTTCCTATACTGTACTTTACATCCCCATGGCTATTCTGTAACTACCTATTTGTGGTTCTTAATCCCCTCACCTTTTTTACTCATTCCCCCACACCATCCTCCCATCTGGCAACCATGGACACTCTCTGTATCCATGATTCTGTCTCTGTGCTTCTTGTTTGCTTAGTTTGTTTTTAGATTCAATTGTTGATAGATATGTATTTATTGCCATTTTATGGTTCATAGTTTTGATCTTCTTCTTTTTCTTAAATAAGTCCCTTTAACATTTCTTATAATGGTTTGGTGATGATGAACTACTTTGGTCTTTTTCTTGTCTGGAAGGTCTTTATCTGCTCTTTGATTCTAAGTGATAGCTTTGCTGGGTAGAGCAATCTTGGCTGTAGGCCCCTGCTTTTCATGTCTTTGAATATATCTTGTTAATCCCTTCTAGCTTGCAAAGTTTCTTTTGAGAAATTAGCTGACAGTTTTATGGGAACTCCCTTGTAGGTAACTAAGTTTTTTTCTATTGCTGCTTTTAAGATTCTCTTTTTATCTTAAACCGTTGGCATTTTCATTATGATGTGTCTTGGAGTGGGCCTCTTTGTATCCATCTTGTTTGGGACTGGCTGTGATTCCTGGACTTGCATGTCTATTTCCTTCACCAAATTAGGGACTTTTTTTCAGTATTTTTTTCCAATAGATTTCCAATTTCTTCCTCTTTCTCTTCTCCTTCTGTCACCTCTGACACAAATGTTGGACTTCTTGAAGTGGTCCCAGAGACTGCTTACACTATCCTCATTTTTTAAATTATTTTTTCCTTCTTGTTCTCATTGGTTGTGGGATTTGGGGGAATTTTTTTGCTTCTTTATGTTCCAAATCATTGATTTGATTATTGGCTTCATCTACTTTACTGTGGCTTCCCTGTAAATTGTTCTTTATTTCAGTTAATGTATACTTTGTTTCTGACCAGATCTTTTTTATGCTGTAGAGGTCCTCACTAAATTCCTTGAGCATCCTTATAACCAGTGTTTTGAACTCTGCATCTGATAGAATGCTCATCTCCATTTTGCTTAGCTCTTTTTGTGGAGTTTTGATCTGTTATTTCATTGGTCTCCTCCATGTTTCTTTGTCTCTTCATTTTGGCAGCCTCTCTGTATGTTGTTTCTATGTCTTAGGTAGAGCTGCTATGACTCCCTGTCTTGATAGTGTCGCCTAATATAGTAGATGTTCTGTGGGGTCCAGTGGCACAGCCTCCCCTATCACCCAAGCTGGGTACTTGAAGTGTGCCCTCTTGTGCAGGCTGAGTACATCCTCGTCTATAGTTGAGCCTTGATCTCTGTTGACAGGTCAGTGGGAGGGATTTACCCAGGCCAGTCATCTGCAAGGACTGGCTGTGACCACTAACCACTGACCTCTGCCCTCTGCGGAGGATCAGGTGGTCAGGGGCAGGGTGGTGGTGCTGTGACTTGGCCTGTAGTTTTCCACTGGGTGCACATACTCTGGGGTATCCCATGTGGTACAGGGCAAGGTCAGCCCCCTCCTGTGTTTTGCCCAGGGCCAACCTGCATGAGCTATAACGCAATCTGAGATGGCTGCTACTTGTGTTGGTCTTGGAGATTCCCAGGCGAAACCAAGCTGTGAATCTAGGCTGGTTGCTGCTAGTGCTGGGTCTGGGGCCACTTAGGAAGTATTGTGGGGGCTGAGGGCTTACTGAGGCCTGTTGTGCTAGTTTAATAGGATTTACAAAGTTTTGAAGCATGAGTCAAGACCAGACATTCATATGAAAATTCATGGTTAACAGTTTGGGTGGGCCTGTGAGCAGGGGATCTCCAGGGCAGGGCAAACAGTGTTAGCCAGGTTGGTTGAGTTTCAGATATGGTACCTGCCTGCTGGTTCTGTGGCTCTGTTGGGATAGGGCTCAGATAGGGACAATGGCCTCTGCCTGCCTTACTATCTGGGAGAAAGCTGTCCCTCAGTTCCCACCTTGATGCTAGACACTTCAGTTCCTCCCTGTATGTCACTGGTGCCTTTCAAGCTGCTACCCCAGTGCTGGAGCTCAGAGGGAGTGAATCTGAGTAAGTCTGGGTGTGTGTTCTTTAAGGGGAACTGCTTGGAACTCTAGAAATTTCTTCTACTGACTCAATACCCGCTGGTTTTTGCAACCAGCAGTAATAGGGACTTATCTTTACGGTGCTGGAACCCTGGGCTGGGAGGCCTGATGTCAGGCTGGGATGCCTCACTTTCAAGATATCCTCCCTATTTTTATCTTCCACATGTGGATGTGGGACCGGCTTTTTCCATGTTTCTGCCCCTCCTACTAGTGTGGATGGATGTGATTTCTTTAATTCTGTAGTTGTCAGACTTGCAGTCACCCTGATTTCTGACAGTTCTCAGTTTTGGTTGTTCTATGTTTTGTTTGTAATTTTGATGTGGCCATGTAAGGAGGTGAGCTGTATTTACTTATACCGCCATCTTGACTGGAAGTCTCTAGATTTTCTTTTGTCCTCCTGGGGCTATTTTGTTATTTTGAAGCTCATGTGTAAGTCTGTACTCAACTACTATACCGAGATTAGAATATAGGTGTTAATTACCTCCTTAACATTTCTGCTTTTATATTCGTTGCTAAATATTCCCAAGTGACTTAGTTTCTCTCCATAGTAAGCCAGTTCACCTGTTGCAGGCCCCTTTGCTTTCGATTTTCCCTTTCTGAAATGGCCGTGTGGCCAGGAAATCTACGTGTATCTCTGTGCCTGCCCCCAGGTCTGACTTCATCCATGCAGAACTGTTCCTGTGGGGTTGCAGACTGGCTTCTTAAAAAGACTTCTAATTTCCAAACTAAATGGTGCATCGGCAAGGAAAATACAGGCCACCTCACAAACCTGCTGGTGTCAGACAATCTTCTGAGAGGCATAAGAGGGACTTCCTCACTAGGAAGGAGCCAGCCAAATGAAGAGCAGAGAGAAGAGTCCCTGGACCAGCGGTTCATCAATATTTAGTGTGCATTGGCATGCACAGATTATTGGATATGGCCCCAGAGGGTCCGATTCAGGAGGGCTGGGGTAGGGCTAGAGAATTGTCATTTCCAACAAGTTCCCAGAGGACACTGTTGCCCCCACTCTAGGAACCATTTTTCAAGGAAGAAGGGACAGACAGCAAAAGCCACAAAACAGGAAAGAGCTTGGTGGTTTCAAGGGTCAGAAAAGAACCTGGTGTGTCTGGAGGGTAAAGAACAAGAAACTGGATTGGTAGACAGGACTATATCATATAGTGAGGACACACACACACAAGTAGACATGAGGGTGAGGTATGTATGGGGAGGGTCAACGACAGGATTTGCTTTTGCATTTATTTTATTTGAT